TGGCCTTTTTAGACCTGTGAACAATTAAATCTCTTGTATCGTTTAAACCAATTTGAAATGTCCCCTTTAATTTCAATAGAAAGCATCTCAACTGATATAGAAACATATTCACTTTCATTGGAAGATACTTCTGGGTTGAAAGAAAAGTGAAATATCAAGTGCCCTTGGTCACAATTCTTTGTTCATTTGTTCACTTGTAGATGACATTGGTGACAGAGGATTAGGAGAAAATCTCCTAACACAGGCCCTGGGCCAAGTGAGGAGATTTTTCTAATCAAGCACATTGATGCTGTAGTCATGATTTTCTCCTTGATCTTAAGTAAAATACTTTCCAGAAGTGCACTGGCCACATACTTTAATTTTTGAAGAGACTTTTCTTCATTGGCTTTTGAGGTTTGGGGACTGCTGATTTTTACTGTATTGTACTCTTCTGTATACAGTAGGTGCTTCATAAATACGGGCATTACCTATAATAGTATAAATGAAGAAATTTAGAAGCATGTTCCTGACTTGTAGCTTCTTAAAATTACCTTCTTGTAAATGGCATAATTGGAGACTTCTAAAAATGTAATTGCCAACTATACTTGGAAATCCACTTTGTCAGTCTGTGGCTTCTGACACCTCGTCTCTTACACCAAGTCAGTTTTGATACCAAAGTTTCCCAGAGGTGTGGCTTTTCATCCTCAAATTACAGCACAAGTTTTAACAGGCCAGTTTTGTCTGTCACTGGGAGTTTAGTAATTATCAAAATGCCCCGGTGCTAATGGTTTATCAAAAGGCCAGTAAGCAGGTAGAAGACTTTGTGCAGGAAACAGACTTGGTTTGCTTGCTGAAGGAACTCATTTAAAAAGCATCCTGGTTCCATGTTATGCTCCATGTGGGCCCAGTCACTGAAATTTAATCTGACTGCCAGAGGGTGGCCCACAGCAAGCCCTGGGCACAGATCCTACCTGTTAACAAAACCCAGTGACATACTCGATCACACACCTCCGAGTCGTTTTCATAGCCGTGGGTATTTTGCAATAGCCTTTGCTACACACACTTTAATAAAAGTTAGTGGTTTTCCTGGGAGTCTGAAACAGGGTGCATAATAGCCAGTGACTAACCTGTAAGTCATGCCTATGGTGACAATTTCGCTTTGTTGTGTGGGAGCGTAAGAAGCAGAGTCGGGACATGGGTGGCTCTTCTCGAGTGTTAGAAAAGCAAGGTCCGCACATTCAAAGAGGAGAATGTTCTCTTTCTCCGAGGTGGCTGCCAAGTCTTAAATAGTAAAACATGTAGGTGTACTTGAGTAAAGAGAAGGCACTGACATTTCAAAGATAACGTGACCGAAGGGAAGTAAAAGAGGAGCCGGGTTATTTGGCAGAGGCAGGAGTTTACCTCTGGAAAGGCAACCTTTTCTTCGAACCTCAGTGTCCTCAGATGCTGTCAGAAGGGTCCACACACGTCCTCACACTCACGTTTCTGCAGAGCAGGCTTTCTGCCGGAGCCGCCCCTCTCACTTTCTCTCTTCAGGACACCCCTAATGGGTTGCAGATGTCCCATTTGGTTAGAAGCACGTTTAGATACATCTGCCCCTCTTGCTTTTATGCAAAAAACACCTGCAAATCTTTATCTTTGGTTAGATTTACCACACGTTTGAAGCTTTGAAATTGTGGTCCGGTGGGAAAGAGGAGCATGTCACCACCCTCCTTCTTAAGTTGGATTCCACAACAGACGATAGCCTTTGGGGGAGATGTTTGCATTTTTCTTTCAGGATAAT